TTTTTGATAGAAAAATAAGGCTTCCATAAGTATTTCATTTATGTTATTATAAAATATCTGAAACGATTTTAGTTCTGAAAACAATCACTTTCACATTAAATATACGCAGAATGTTTAGAGTATAATTTTATTGTATCTATATTTACACGTTTTGAGTGACTATATCTATGTACTTATACATATGATTATTGTATTAAGAGTCTGTTTTTCATCAATATATATACATGAAATATAGTTAACTCATTTAGCATCATAATTAAAGGCCAACATTTGTTCGGTTATAAAAAAAATAAGGAAAATTATTTATTTCAAAACATTGTTCTAAACAGTATTTAATGTAAGATATTTTGGAGTGAAAAAAAAGATATTTCAATATAATTATACCTTTTTTAATAATTTGTGTTTCTTAATTAATTAGATTTTCTGTAAAAAAACTAAATTTAATTTTTTATTCAGTTTAAATATTTTTATCATCTTTACTAGTTGCCTTTATTTATAAGCTGATAGAAAAAAAATCAGTAAAATTTAATTATTGTTAAACATGAAATATTAAATCATCTCAATCTCCAATGCATAAACCATCCTTAATAGATAAAAAATATAATAATTAAACATTGTGTTTTATTTTATTTTTACTAAACTTTTCAGAGATAATCCTGAGATGCTGAGTTTCGAGCAGATATTCTTGGACGCTCATTCAAATGATAAAATGTATAGAAGATTGAAACTATTTCTTCTAAATTTCATAAGTAATAATTTTATAACACAGCATGGAAAATATTTGATTTCAATATTGAAATGAAAAATATATATTGCTCAACAAAAATAGATAATGTGTTAAAAGCGAGTAGTTCTTTTTAAATATATTTTGAGTTTCTTAATAATTTAACGATGCTTCAAGACTAACTTTTTGTAAATGTTTTTGAATATTCAAACATTTAATTCTAAAAGAAATAAGCCTCTCAAGAAAATATTTTTTAAAAAAACTCATAATGTAACATTCACAATTTTTTGTAAACAAAATTAACAATTTTAAAAAAAAATTAGTTTTAGTTAAAATTATTTCATAAGATTTGAAGAGCATTCCCATAATGTATAGGATCTTATGCTTTTTAAAACCTTTTCTGTGTTAAAATTTGCTTTCAAAGAATTATGATTAGGAAACGTGATTCTATTTCGCATTCTAATAACTGGAATCCACTTTTATGAAAATAATTTTTATTCTATTATCCATTAATTATTATTCAATACACACAGATGTTAAGTATACAATGATTTACATAATATTGTGACATTCAGTAAACTGTATTTTGAAAATGGTTTTCTTTTAAACCAATTAACGTATTTACATTATTTTCTTAATAAAGAGATTAAAAAATTTACGATTTATTTAACATGAAATACTAAATTTTTATTGCATGGTAAAAATAATTTTTTTTAGCAAAGTAAAAATTACAAAGTATTTTCTTTTTAAAAAAAAGTTTAGACTTTTTACGCATTTTAAACCAAATCATAAAAAATCGCATTGATTACTTTCCATCTGATTTCAAGCTCGCAAACCTCGTCATTTTCCTTCTTTCTAATTTAACGCTACGCAATTAAAAAAAAAAGAAAAAAAGAAAACAACATAAATCCTCATAATTTTTGTAACACGTTTTGCAAAACAGAAAAATAAATAAACGTCATTAGAATTAGGTGTGTGACTTCAAGTTTATGAGTTAAATAGAAAACCGCCGCATACAAGATAGTCTTGCAAGCTAATTTACATGATTTAAAAGAAAACACCCTATATACATGCTGATCATAAAGGTAACAGCCCTAGTTGACAGAGCATTACTTGTAAGTGCCAACAGCTGCAAGGCCCATAACTCCCTAGATATATGTAGGAAAAGATTTTGCGACAACTTTTATCGATTAAAGTCAAAATGTGCCACCTAAACGATGCTCAGTACACTTCCATCAAAGTCGCAAAGCATCTCTTTAAATTTAACGTCGCTCTAAGTCGAACGTAAAATTGATTGTGTAAACATTTTTAAGGTTTGCGAAGAATATTCAAATTTGGAAGTAGAAGCACGGTTTGTATTTTAAACGAATCATAAATTGAATGTATTTTTTAAGGCGGGGGAGGAATGTGTGTAAGCTGCTGATAGCGCATGGGGAGCAGATATTAAATACTTTAAAATTTGTTTAAAGAATGTGACATGTTTAATTTTGCTTATCGAGTAATTGATGTATGGGCCTTAAATTTTGAATACAGATTGACAGACAAATTGTTTCATTTACTTGATTTATTACCTTTTAAATTATAAATTACTTATTACAGATTTAAAGAAGATGTTGAATAAAATTTGGATTTGGAGAGACTCTAAATAATTTAATAAAATTTTTAAATAGAGTTTAGGGTAATTTAATTTTTTTATGCATTTATTTTTATTTGAATTTCAAGCTGTATACATATATATATATATATATATATATATATGTAAAATAATACAAAAACGGGAAATCGACTCACATTGGAGGAATTGAATAATATATATTTGATTAAAAGTAAAAATTGATTAAATAGATATTTACAAATTAAATGTGCCTGCACCCACCTATACACGACTTCCGCGTGAGCCGGCCAGAGTCCAAATGTTTCTCCCGCATGGGTTCATAGTTTAGTTCTATAAACTTGTCGGTGAGGCTCTTCGCTAGCGCGTCAAGGTTGATTTTACTGGATCTGAAGACCTCCCGATAGTACTCTTGCTGTTCATTGGTTAATTCCCTCGTCACAGCTCCGCTGTAGGCAGCATATATATAAGTAAGTAAATTAAATAAGAGTAAAATTAAATAGTTATGTCATGAAAAAGGGTATAATTTGGAAACACCTATTTTTGTGTGAATTAGACACAGTTTAAGGTTTCTGAAATTGTTTCATTGAAATAAATATCCTACAGTACAATATGGCTATTGAGTTAATCTGATAAGAATAATATATCTTTCCCTATTTAGGGATTTTTTAATTTTTTTTCTTTTGCAAATTATGATTGCATTTTAGTTACTTACTGTTTCAAAATCATGTATCATACATTTTCAAAATGTTTTTAAATCCATTGATTTTATTAAGGACATTTCTTAGACTTTTGTATAATGTCGACTTCATTCTTGCAAGCGATATAATGAGACAAATACTTAGAATCTTAAGAAAATTATACTTTTCAAACTACAGAAAATAGCCCTGTAAAATAAAAATTACATGAAGTTCAAAGCTAGTCTTAGAGAAGATTATGCTTCAAATCTCTTACTTAAAGCAAAATACTTCATTTTTCAAAAATGATATTAATAAATCTTAAATTAGTTGTACTGTTCAACACTACTCTTCAATGCATAAAAAATTTACATTAGGTAAGTATAATTTTTAAAGTAATATATATATATATATGTGTGTGTGTGTGTGTGTGTGTGTAATTCTATATTTCAAATAGGAATATTAAAAGCTTTTTAAAAGTTCCACAGGAAAAATTATACGAATTATGGATATAAATAATTAGTGAGCCTATAAGAAAATTATGTTAAGACCCTGGATTTTACTTAAAATATTAATGATTTTTTCATAAATTTTCTACACTGTGTTTATTTGCTAGCAAAATATATTTTTGAATCACTACATGCAATCATTTCTAACTGAAAATACTTTAAAGAAATAATGATTACACAATTTCAGATTAAAAAAAGTAAAAGTAGTTTTGTTATACATTGGAAATATTTTATGATAGATTGTGAAATATGTAAATGGAAGGAAATAAAAAAGTAATATAATCACATTGCCCTTATTTTTTATTATTGATATTAGTTTGGAAAAGTGATTAATTGAAAATGTATTTTAGTATCTAAGTAATTAAGACTTATAAGATGTACAAAACTTCAATCGTTTCTAACACATATCATTAAGCGTTAATTTTATTTATATTAAGCAAAATTAACTTAAAAATGCAGAAAAAATTGCATTCAGAAATATGTTTTAATTGAAGAGCAATTATTCTATTTTCATAAAATTTTGTTTCACTCAGAAAGAATATGTTTACTCAGAGAATATTGAGCTACAAACCGTCCCTCCAGAATAGCCTTAACCGGACCGCAAGGAAACAGCAGCGTATAGCATGAAAAAGCAGCTATCATCATCATAAAACAAATAATAAAGTACACAAAATGAGTAAAATACAATATTGTTTTTAAAATATATAATTGGAGGATTCTCCTGAAAACCGAAAGAAAATATAGATGTTTTTTGGTCCATAAAGAAAGAAACCAAAATATACATGCGCACAGCAAAATCATATTAATAATACTTTTAATCTAATAAAATGTTAAATTGACTGGATTTAGCTGTTTACAATAATATTTAATAAAACTTAAGAAAAGTTTTACTTTTTACAAACTATGGATGAAGAGAGCCCTGTGGATAGTAAAGTCCCCGATCTATCTCATGAAAAATAAATATTAAGAGCTGTGGAAGTTTTAAATTATTTTAATATATTTTATGATCTATATTCAAGTACTAATATTTTTTGTGTTATACGGAATGAAGTGAGAAAATGTTTATAGAGCGTAGTGGTCCACATCACCAATAGACCCATACCTGCAAAGTTGTCCCTTATTTTAAAATGAAAGAGGCAATACTAAAATAATCCTGATTTGGAAAGAAGTACAACATAAATTTAAACAAAAATATTTTTTTAAAAATTTAAGTCAATTTCTTCTTTGGTCAACAAAGAAACATTTTATTTTAGTTACTTTTCTATTAAACAGTTTCAATTATAGTAAATATATATATACATATGACAGATTCACAATATTGACAAAATAGAACGCGATTTTCCTTGCAATTTGCATTTTCCTTTCCATATATGGTGTTGGATTATGTTTTTGTTTGTTACTATTTATTTATTCATTAAACTTAATTATTCTAATAAAATAATATAGTAAAAAGGAAATCACATTCTCAGAAATCAGGCCCTTTAAGGTGAGATTCGAACCCATAGCCAGTGGATTGGAAGTCCAACGTGCTATCTATTGCACTACGGGGACACAAGGAATGATTTTCCTTTCTATATATGCTTTTGGACTAGTAATTTTTTTACTATTTATTCATTTTTTAATTTAATTAATGAATTATTATCTGAAAAAACTGTATTAACATAAAGTGATCCATTACAAGTTTTAATAAATGTATTTGAACTCGAATGGATGAATAGAAAGTACTTTATTAACGATTGAAAATTTGAACAAGATATATATATATGAAGAGAAGTGTGAACAGTAGGAATTGAAAAAGGGTAAAATTTTAGTGTTAACGTTAGGAAAGAGGTTTTAGCTTTGATGCCAGAGAGAGTGGTATAATTATGCCCAAACTTTTTTGAATCCGAAGTGAGTTCTAATCTACAAAAATTTGACACACCGGAATATGTGAGATGAAGTCATATTACATCCTATTTAAATAGAAAGTTTGGCACAAGTGTCAGCTATTTCAGGTTAAAAGTTTGTATTATGAGTCCTTAACCAATGAAGATAAAAGAGAACTGGTATTTAATTAATTTAATTTTAATTAACGTTAGGAAAAAGGTAACGGACCCATAACGATTTACTGTAACCATTGTAGATTAAAACGGAAAGAAATAAAGACTGCTGATATAAACCTGGGTTCTAATATTATTGAACACTGCCCAATAAACAGCCATTATCTCTACCTGGAAGGCTGTCTTGTAATAATTATTTAATTTAATAAGCATAGCATTAAGAAGAAGAATCTATAAAAGATGTGCACTGTGAGATTTTTGTCTGGCTGTCCATATTTGACTTATCAATACACACTCCCATTCAGAAGAGTTCTCAAGAGAATAATATCTCATACATTGTTGTAGGGTGATAAATGTTTTAGAGGAATAAGATGGTCTAACTGGTTTCGATGTATACGATAGATATAGTTTGATTATGGATATTTCAAATTAAGTGTTTTAGAAAAATATGGATTAAGAGATTAAACACCGGTAATTTTTAATAAGTAGATTATTTGAATAGAAGTTATATTTTGGGTCTAAATATAAATAGAGGAGCATCCCATGCTCTCCTACTATTGGTCGTAATTGGTTCTCAAACTATCTCAAACCAGAGTTTGACCAAATGATTATTAGATGAAATTCGACTTTTGAAAATCCAAAGGAAAAATTGGGTGTAGGAGTTAGATTTATATTTTGTTTTCCTTTAGATGCAGTATGCGTGAGGAAGAAGTAAGAAGGATGTCTTGAATTGTTCCCAAATAGCTTACGCATAAAATTATTTTTAGTATATTGTTGTTGTTCATTTTAAAAATTGGGCTTCTATCAAAGAAACTATCACCATGTGATCGAGGTCTTTTAAAAATGTGGAGGCAGCTGAATACCGTAGGAAAAACATTTACGGAAGTGATCTCGAAGTTAAGTAAAGAGATATTAATGAAAATTAGTTTTAAAGCAGAATTAGAGGCCATATCTAATCCGGGGGGGATCCTACCTTTAGTAAAAAAGGCCAAGTCGTCCGCAAATAACTTGTAAAAAAAATATAATCAGAATTTTAACTAAAAATTATACTATATTATAAATTCCTCAAGGTGGAAGAAACACGTGTACCATATCAATAGTAATGAGTTGTTTAATTGTAATTAATTCACCGAAAAAAATATTCTGTGACTTTTTTAAATACAAGTAAATAATTTTTTGAAAAAGAAAAAGTAAATAAAAATTTGCAACAGCTTGAAAAAAAAACGGGCAGGCCACGTAGTAAAAAAAAATTCATATTAATAACAAGTAAATCAGAATGATTAGAGTTTTTATTAGTAATAATTATATACATATATATATTTATATATACATACTAAATCCTGCACCGTATCGATGACACTGGAGCTTTTCCAAAAACCAAAATAATGACCATGCAAACTTTAACAGTATAAATCCTATAATTAAGTTTATTAGAAAAACATTATTTGAAGGATGTTGACCAATGTGGGAGAAAGATATATTACGCAATATGGGTTCGCAAAAGAGATCACTACAATACTTAAAAATAAATTTTATTTGATATTTTTAAGCGTATATAAAAGTAAGAAAATAAAAGACACTGGACTAATGACTCAAATATTAGTTCAAGAAAATACCCATACCCGAAATTCCAAATATCATGGCCATAAAGTTTAAACATCGCATCCTTACCCTTACCCATAACTAATTTCAGCTCTAACTGGGAGAATTTAGCTTAAGGATAAATTAAAAGAATATATATATAAATATGTGTATATAAACTATATATAGAGAGAGAGAGCCAAAAATTCTCTACAAGAGATGAATAAACATGATAAAACTGAAAAGAATTGAAATTGTAAGATAACCAGACAATAGATTTTAAATGGAAGTATGAAGAATTAAAATAATAGAGTTAAATATGAAAAATATAAAAAACATGGCTGCTACAGTGTTATAAACATTGCTGAATTAGTACAGCTTATATATAAAATAACTTATATAAAAGTGGGGTTGAACATGTTTTCTGGTCAGCCAACATTCCCCATTCTGTTAATAATACTGAGCAAAAACTTATTGAAAATAGTGGATGTAAAATATAAATCCATAACGAGAAAAAGGTAACTTACCTAAAAATTGCATTCAAAAATGCAGAACCCGTGATAAATCTGAGTAGAATAAACAAGTTATTGCCAGATTCTGGACCGAAATGCAAATTCAAAGCATAGGAATGGCTAAAATGTAGCATTTAGCAAAAGTATGAAGATAATAGAAATAATAAATTAAGAATTGTAAGCATACTACCATTATCTTAGGGACCCTAAAATTATATATGATTTTTAAAAAATAATAAATTAAATTAAATTTTAAAAAAAGTAAGAAAACATGTAATTTTATCTAAAATTAGAATTTGGAGGTAACTATGTAAGAAGAATAAATTTATAATAATAACCTATTAATGAACTATGAAAACTTAATCCTTACTATTTAGAATTTCATTATTCAAATATCTATTAATAAAATTAATTGGGTATTTTTTCAATTAAACAGTATTTAGTAAAATATTTATAGTTTTTTAATTTTTCTGATTTATTTGAAACTAGAAATTTATTGCGTTGTGTGTAATGAATAACAATATTTCTGAATATAGAAACACATTACTCTCCCAATATGGTACTTTTATAACATTGAATTTAAAGACTTCTCGTTTATCATAAATATTAGAAACTATTTTATTATCTTTTGATTTACTTTCTAAATCAAGAAAATTTGCTTCATAGTTGTTACTATTTGTCTGTATTAAATTAAGATATTGTGGATAAAAGTTATTGTTTAGTTTAAAGTTTTCTTGCTTGCCAAAAATGATTATATCATCTTTTTCAGAGAAAAATGTAATATTCTGAGACGTCAATTAAATTTTTTTTCAAAATAATGTAAATATAAATTGGCAAGACAGTTGCTAGCTGGGCCACTTTGTAGCAAATCCTTAATCTGTTGATAATATTTACCATTATGATATACATAATTTTCTTTTAGAACAAACCTAAGTAGAGAACCAAATCTATCATAATTGACATTTTTAAATAAATTATCTTTTTGCAATTTTACAAGTATTTTAATCATATCATCAATATTAATAGAGTTATAAAGATTTTCAAAATCTAAACTATATACTGAATATATACTGAAAAAATCTTTTCATCTTTAAATGTATCAGGATTTATTTAGAGAAAATGCATTAAAAATATTATTTAAACATACAAAACAATCATTATATATATATATATATATATATATATATTGAAAACTCTGTCATGTGCAGAATTGTTATTATTTGAATAAAATACATAGTTATGAAGCCTCGACTCTTAAATTGGAAATTTTTCAATTTTTTGAAAAAAGATATATGTTAAAACCTGAACATTTCTGAGAATTTTTGATGCCAAAACTTTGTTGATACTGTAAAAACTTCCGAAGTTATTGTGAAATAACTAGTGAATCTTAAATAAAAACACTATATTTTTCTTATCTTTAACTTCATTTTTCTCAACACAAAAAATTCTAGCTTGCGCGCAAGATTTCTCCGAAACTATTTATGAAATCAATTTGAAATTTCATACACGTGTTCAAAATAAAGCTCTTCATAACTTATACAGCAATTTTCAAAAAATAAATTTATAGAATTTTTTATTTGAATTTTAATTTATTTTTTCCTTAAAATTTTAAAATTTTCGTTATAATTGTATTTAAAAAAATTTTTTTTCTCTAAATTTCTTAAAAGTTAGTATAACTTCAATAATGAACATTTTTATACCAAGTAATATTAATTTTGTAAATTTTGATCAATTTTGTACTCCAGAATCCTGCGCGGTGCAAAATACTGATTTTCATATTTTTAAAACATTGTCCAAATTATATTTCTTTATTACTTTTCAAAGTTTTTTTTTCAAATTGTCTGAAAATTTGAGAAATATTGTAAATGTGTATGATTATCATGTTGTAAAAATTTCAAATGATTGTTTTGTTTTCTTGCTAAGCTTGAAGAAGGATGTTATATGAAATGTACAGATATCTTTTAAGAGTCAAGAGACCCCTTGAAATATGCTTGTCGAAATTGTGGCTCAAAAGCTTTTAAAATGTGGCCCAAACACAAATTATGAAAATATTTCAATTTACACATTTTTTTATTAAAAAAATAAATGTATGCACAAAATATGCTGCATTAATTGTCGATTTAACTGATGAGTTTAAAAGAAGATTTCAAGCTTTTCGAAAAAACGAAGAGTATTTCAATATATATTTCCTACCCCGTTTTCTCTAGAAATAAATAAATTACCTTTAAATAGAATGCATTGAACTGAAAAATGACATTCAACTGAAAGCAAAATTTGGGAATGTATCTATACTGGAGTTTTATAAAGATTACCTACACCACGCGATAAATTATCCTCATTTTCACTCTCATGCTTTATTAATGTCTTCAGCTTTTGGCAGTACTTATATTTGAGAACAGTTATTTTCCAAGAAGCA